ATATGGTGACACGCATCTTGTTGCCACTGGATCAACACTCACAGCATTGGAAATTCATGCAGCTCAAATGTGGTGGCATGTGAAAGAGGGAGATAATCACTATGGTGTAGATTTTGAAAAGGAGAACAAGGTAGTTGGTGTTCTTTGGGCTAACAAGAGGGACAGTGGATTATGGTTTGCGCCTCCTGAGTGGAAAGAATGTCGCCTTGGGATTCAACTCTTGCCGTTACTGCCTATTTCTGAAGTCTTGTTTTCCAATGTTGATTTTGTGAAGGATCTTGTGGAGTGGACATTGCCTGCCTTGAACAGGGAAGGTGTTGGAGAAGGATGGAAGGGGTTTGTTTATGCACTGCAGGGAATTTATGATAATGAAGGCGCATTGCAGAGGGTAAGAAGCTTAAATGGTTTTGATGATGGAAACTCATTGACTAATCTCTTGTGGTGGATTCACAGCAGAAGTGATGAAGAGGAATTTGGTCATGGCAAACACTGCTGGTTTGGTCATTACTGCCACTAGGTATTGTTAATGATTTTCAGGTATTTGAAAAGAAATTATTATAGTTTCTTACATTGTACATAAATAAATTTCTGTATACGGCTGATGTTTGTTTCTTACAATTTCTGTTGAGTGAAATCTGTGTGTACTGTGGACTTACATTCATTTTTTTTTAGCCCTTATTGTGTCATGAAGATGTTATGGTTTAAGCTCTTCAGTTTTATCCTATCATCTGGTCTTCACCTTTCCATTGTGTGGTTTTTGGCATTTCCATTTTGAAAAGTTGAGGCAGGTTTTGCTGATGAATGCCATCTGTAGTATAAACTCTGAAGGCATCAAGTACAATTAATGAAGCACTAAATGAGTATTAACCCAAACTACTTTAAGCCCTTTCTTTTGGGAAGATCAAAGTTTACTCATCTTGGTATATATATCTTGGTATTTTTTTTTTGGTTGCGTTTGACAGAAGGAGAAAACTAAGGACGTTTTCTATGATGGGAAATGGGAACTCATCTACCAATCTCTTATCAGTGTGATAAGAGAATAACAATCTGTTTTCAACTGATATGCATTTTCTAATGTTCCCTTGATTTTTCTTGTTTTATTGGTCAATTTGGAATGCCTAGATAATCATAAACCTAGAAAGTTTCTCATGAACTGAAATCATCCAACTCAACTGTTTAGTAGCCAGCAGTGCTATTGTTATGTGCCATGAAGCATCAGATAAAATTTTTGACCATGGTGTTGCATTCCTATGCATGGTATGGAAAATGCAATTAGTGTCTCAATGGTTAGTTGGTATATCCAAAAAATACAAATTCCTTTCCAACTTTTATAGATTCCCTTGTTCATTGTTGTCTCATGGAATATCTGGTGTCCATTTTTTAACTGTATGCTTTGGAAGAAATCTTTATTTCTAACCGGTGAAGTAGTCGGTTGGATTAATTAAAGTATTTTTGTTTGGTCTGCTATGAATTTGAGTCGGAATAAACATAACAGATTTAGACTTATAGTCAGTGTCATTTCATCAAAGAAAAATGCAACTCATTCTTCTCTGCCACAATAAAATTGGAGCACAGAAACGAAAATAATGTTCGTTTTCAACAAAGATAACTTGATTTTATTCTTTTGATTGTATTCCTAAAGCTTTATATATAAGGATTGATTTAAAAAATCCTTGTTTTTTACAGGAATCACATTGAAAATATGGTTAAGGTGTAAATGAGTCAAGATATTTGAAAACTATTCCGACTTGATTTGTTACTTTACAATAAACAAACTCAAGCTTTGGAGTAGGTTTGATTATTTAAATAAGTTGAGTCCAAGCTTTAAAAACTTGATGCTTAAAGATTTATATATATTATATTTGTAATTTTTTTTATTAAAACTATATTTTATTTATCTTTATAATATTTTGTGAGTTAAATTAAAATAAGATTTTAGTAAATAGTATAAAAATAAAATCAATATTATAAAAAGATAAAAAATAGTAGAAAAATATTATATAATTAATATCATTGTTTAAAATCAATATTAAAAAAAGACAAAAAAAAACAGTAGAAAAGTATTATATCATTGATATCATTGTTTGGAAAACCGGATTTGACTAATCAGTTCAATCAATCTAACCCATGGTTATCAAATCCAGACGGGGCGGTTTAATTGGTTGGAATGGCCTGTTGAATTAGTTAGACTGGGCGGATTCGACACGAAAATTTGTTTTTTATATTAGTCATGGTATTCTTTTCTTTTTTATTATAGTTTTCATTCTTACAGCTCTTATCACTACTCTCACGATAGTCTCATTTCAATGTCGCCCTTATTGTGGTCATTATGTATTATTATAATTATTACACTTATTCATGGACATATAATAACGCGTAAAAATCACAATATTTTAATTTTAAAAATTAATTTAATAATATTTTAAAAATTAATTTATTGAGTGAATGGGTAGTGAGTTATTTTAAATTTTATATCATGCCTTCAAATACAATAAAATATATAAAATTTAAAGTTAGATAGAATAATATTGTGTAATTTTTCCTTTTAATTATTTTTAAATTGGATATAAATTTTTTCTTAATTATTTTTAAATTAGTTGTAGTTTTTTTCTTTAATTATTTTTAAGTTAGGTGTAATGACAATTTTTTTCTCTAATTATTTTATGCTTCAAGTATTTGATGATATATTTGTTCATGTTACTTTTTTTTTATGTATTTTATAAATTATTTTTATTATTATATAATATTTTTTAAATAACATTTATATTAGATTGAAATTATTATTATATTACAATAAACTTATTTTAAATTTAATATATTATTATATTATTAAAATATATTATTTTATTAAACTCTATTTAACTCCATTTTAATTTTTGATTAAATTTCGATTTAACCTTTGAATCCTAAACCTATATTTTCATCAATTTGATGACTAATTCAATTTTAATAACCATGATCTAACTCGATATTGAGTTCTTACTTTCAAATAATTAGATTTTAATTAAACCAAAACAAAATAAAAAAAATCGACACAAAATTAGTAAAACTAAAACTCAAACAGATTTTAGTATTGATCCATTTAAAAAAAAATTAAAATATTTTTTTATAAAAATATAATATATTTTAATTTTTTTATCTCATATTAATTACATCAATTTAACCTATAATTATATAATATATTTTTATCTTATTTTAATAATGATTTATCTTACACCTTCTAACATTATATTTATAATCTTTATTATAATTTTATTATTCAATTTATTTATTTTTTATATTAATTAAATATTTGTTTTTTATATAATAATTAATATAGTCTACTTTTAAGAAAATATCAATTAATATTTTGAAATTACAAATTTTGATAAACTATTTAAAAAATTTATAATTCAAAATTAATCTAATTTAATTTAGCTCGATTAAGAATGAGTAAGAAAAAAAAAGTAAAAGTTCAACTTTAAGATTTATTATTAGTTTTTTTAATGAATATGGTCTATATTTTATTCCAAATTTGAGTATTGAAGACAATATTATAAATACTAGGAATACCAAAACAATGAAATATAAACACACAGATATTAATTTATATTATTTATGTCCTCATCATTATAGAATATAACAAATGTTGTGCATAAGTGAGATTGCAAACGCTTTCAAGATCTGACTTAAATTCATCGACTGAATTTGAAGGCGCTGCGCAAATTACAAACGCTTTCAACATTGTCTTAAATTCGTATAACAGTAGAGACTACATAATCTACTCATGTTTTTTATGTTCCAAATCAAATTAATTATAATCCTTACCCTTTTTATTGTAAATTAATTTACTAAATTCAATAAAAGAACAATACAATCATACAAAAGACATTTTTTTTTTCAATCTCATATAAATCACTTATACATTCATATTCAATATAATCATCATTTTCACAATAATCATACAATCCAAATACTTAAAACTCAAATAATATGTACAAGTCATATTAATACGATTACGATTAAGAATGAGTAAGAAGAAAAAAAATGTAAAAGTTCAACTTTAAGATTTATTATTGATTTTTTTTCAATGAATATGGTCTATATTTTATTCCAAATTTGAGTATTGAAGATAATATTATAAATACTAGGAATACCAAAATAATGAAATATAAACACACAGATAATAAGTTATATTATTTATGTCCTCGTTATTATGGAATATAACAAATGTTGTGCACAAGTGAGATAAAAAAAAAAGAAAGTATTGATGTAATTATTATATAATATCGCTCCTAATCAATATAGTATTCAACTTGAGACCTTAAAATTACGAGTGGATTTATCTCAAGAACATCACTTTTTTCTGACCTTTTTTTCCTTCTTTCTACTTATTTCTTTCAGCCCTTGTGTTGTGTATATTGCTTGGGCTTTTCCACCATGAATCAAGGTTAATGTGATTCATAGTGTGATTTCATTGTAGAAAGCAATACTTAAACTTTATCAATTATCAGTATGAAGATGCTAAAAGTAACTTGTTCATAAAATAGAACAGAAAAGACCTTTTTTAAGGAGAAAAGAACATTCTTTGAACAAATGCCAAATAACCTTCTTCTCATGCCATCTCTTACTTGTACATTCAATCACGGAAACCTTAAAAGTATCTTTCAGTGATCCTTACCCTATTTTCTGCACTCAAGCCAAGTAATGGAATCATCAAAATTGAGAGATATCGCAAGCATTCCTATTTAACATAATAACACAATAATGTTTGCACTCTGTTAACATTATTTATTTGGTACCAATTGTGGGAGGGGAATTTTCAGATTGCGTGTGGACTTACAAGTTCTCCAATGGTGTTAGTTATTGTTTCTGACAATTAATAATTCGTATATGTCTCAATAAAATGTTTAAAAAAAAATTAAAGTACTTGCAATTTAAGAGGGTAATTCAGGGTATATGTGAGAGATAAAAATGGCACAATTACGGTATATGAGAGAGTAAAAATGCAATTAAGGGTATTAGCTATGGACCTGTTGGCGCGTGGCGGAGTGGGAGTTCAATTGGAGGGCGAGGGCGGCGTTGGAGGCGAGGGAGTGGGCGTGGAGGTGCGGGAGGCTCTGGGAGATATCCTGGGGAGGCAATCTCAGCCGTAGATCATGGATCATGGATCAAACGGCGGAGAGAACCCGCCTTCTGATCCAGTTCGATCACGTACTTTTGCTGCTCTTCAGAGAATAAGATTGGGATAAAGGAATCGTCCTCCGCTTCCTTTCCTCCGCCACCTCCCACCGCCCATGCCAGTAACCCAGCCATGCCTTACAAGCTAACTCTCTCTCTCTCTCTCTCTCTCTCTCTCTCTCTCTCTCACACACACACACACACACTCACACACTCTCACTCAATCTCTCGAATTTTCTGACTCTTTCGTTCAATATCTTCACTCACCTTCCATTTTTTCCGATCTGCGGTGGTTGATTTCGGAGTTGGGAATTAGGGTGGTTTGGTTCGTTAAGTGGTCTCATTTCCATTTTCTTTTAATATATTTTAATAACTTACTTTTTTAATTAGTATGTTTAAGCATTAATTAGTTAACTTAATTATATATCTTATCACTTGTTTAAAAATTTATTATTCATTTTTTTACTATTTTATTATTATATTTTTTTTTATTTTACTTATCGTATAGATTTGTTAAATATACAATAAATTGTTAACATGTACTTACAAAATATATTAGATGTGCTTATTTCCTGATTTGTACACATTTAATTACAAAACATGATGTTAAAATATCAGAAAAAATAATAAGACGTGCAATTCAAATTTTGATGTTAAATGTATGAAATATAATTTTGTTTTTAATATAAATATATTTTGGAAATGAATTTTATAATATATTTTTGGGTTGTATTTTCTGAAAATTATTGTGGTGCATAAAGTAACAGTTACATTCTACGGTGCTATTAAGATAGCCCATGTTACAGATTAATGGGCCAGGTATGAACCCAACAAAGGCCTTTGCTTTCTACACTCCAAAACTTTCAATTTACCCACTGTCCACTTTCCTTGGTAGCATAGCAGATGCAAACGGTGAAGAAGGTAGTTTCAAAATAAAAGTTATCCAAAATGGATATTCAGAATGCAATAAAAACAATTAAAAAAATAAAATTCTAGAATGAAAGTGGTGAGAAAACACAATTTAACTATTTAAAATAATTTATTCCATGATGCATTCTTGTAACGAATAATCTGAAATAATTTTTTAGTTATTACGAATTACTTATAATAAATTTTGTCCATCTTATATGGATTACTTATATGAATTACATATAATTTTTTTCCATCTTAATAAGTTGAGATCTTTTATTAAGAACACAATTAATAAAATAATAATTAATATAATTTCAAACTTAAAAAAAAAAGGAATCATATGGAACATAATTAATTAATTTTAAATTTATATATACTTAACTAAAATATTAAAAATGTAAGCATAATTTAATATGTTTTTTCATTGGGTGCTTTATTATGTCTACAACAATTTTGTATAATATGTTTACGAATTATATATATATATATATATATATATAGTATTATTATTAGTATTATTATTATTATTCATTATTCATATAATATCGAATTGTAAGAAAGAGAAATGCGATACAGTGCATGTAACCCTATCATATTTTGCCCTTTCATCACATTAATATCCAATGACCAAATCCTTCTTATTCATCATCTTCTCTGCTGTGAATCCACCACAAGAGATTAGTCAAAGAGTTTCCACCATCAAAACCTTTAAGGTTTCTTATCTTTTGCAATGCACTTTGATTGTCATAAATCCCTTCAAGGGCATATACAAACCCCTTCCACCCTTCACCAACACCATCCCTATTCAAAGCAGGCAAAGTCCACTCCACAAGCTGCTTCACATACTCACCATTGGAGAAAATGGCTTCAGAAATAGGCGCCAATGGTAGTAGCTGAATGCCAAGCCTACACTCTTTTCTCTCTGCAGCAGCAAACCATAGTCCAGTGTCCCTCTTGTTAGACCACAAAACTCCCATGATCCTGTTCTCTTTAGTGAACTCTTCCTCGTACAAAGTCCCTCCCTCTTCCACATGCCACCACGTTTTAGTCCCAAGAATTTCCAATGCTGTTAGTGTTGATCCAAGGGAAACAAGATGAGCATCACCATATGCCATACCCATCAAAGCAGCTGAGTAATATGCACACACAGCCTCACTTGTGCTCTCTTGGTTCCTTCCATCTGTGAACTCAGTTAACCCTCCAGCCCAAGAGTGAAGCACATAAAAGTCAAAACACCTCAAGCGTGTGTAATTGGAGTTTAGTTTTGTGTCCAAGTTCATGAAGTCTTGCACAAGGGAATAGGCTTGAGGCTTGTACTTCCTACCCCAGGCTGAATCAAGCTTAGTGAGCACTGCAATTCCATAAAGAAAGTACCCCAAATGGTAATGGTGGTCATTGTAAATACCAAATCCAAAATCACCATTAACGTCATTGGACCCTTGTTGGGTAATAATGCCACCCCATTTCTTATCATGTAGAAATCCATTCCCATTAAAAGTTCCCTCCAACCACGGCTCAATGGTTTCCTTCAAAAACTTTATAACCTTTGGAATCACATCAGGATGGCTCAACTCCTCAGCAATCAATGCCAACCTTGCCGCCCTTGCAATCAACTTCCCAAAAAAATATGACGAAGTTTCTGTTATTGATGATGAGTTTAGGCCGTCAACATCATTAGAGAGGGCTGAAACAATTTCATCACGGGATTCTTCTTTGACTCCCTTAGTTGATTGCCATGTTACAAATACAGGATCTGTTTGCAAAACCCATGAATTCCCAACAACACCAACAAGATCCCCATCAATGCTTCCATACTTACAATCTTCAAGAACAGTGACGGCATTGTCTCCATTAGACAGAAGTTGAACATGGAGAGGGTGAGCCAAGAGTAGCAAATCCCCTGACCCTTTCTTCTCCCACTTATACTCCACACAAAAGGGTTCTCTGAATATAGCTTCACCTGACACGGGGTAACAAGAACTAAATTTGTCAAGAACCGCCTCGTGTTTTGAATCAGAATTAGGCAACAAGGCTATCCGGACCATGCCAGAAAATGCATCAGAAGTGATCTCAGAAAGGGTGTGGCTCAACTTGATGGGGGAGGAAGCATAAAGGATCCATGTTTGACCATTGTTGAACTGAAAGATGTACTTGGTGTTAGTCTTATTTGAAGAAAACGAGAGAATGGCGTGGATGGTGGTGATGGAAAGAGGGGTTGGTTGGGTCACAGAAACAGTCAAAAAGGGGCTTCCCCTAACAAGGAGGAAGCTAAGATTCGAAGAAGGGATATCCAATGTGACACCGAGATCACTATAGGAGGAGATAAGGTGTTTCCCATTGGAACCTTGCTTGGATGAGATAGTGAGATCAGCGTTGAAGACTTGGTATATGACAGCAGAACTGACTTGGCGAAAAGGGTATGACAGAGACAGGGAAGAGTTAGAGGATTTGATAAGGTAAGGATGAATGTATTCAGGTTGGTCACCATTTTTGAGGACAAAGTTCTGGAAGAAAGAGTTTGTGGGGAGTGGTTTTGAGAGAAGGGTTGGGGAGAAGAAGTTGGAGGGGTCAGGAAGGACAGTGGATTGTGTCTCTGGGAAGATGAAAGGAGTTTTGTTTTGGTTAACCATTGCTGCGTCTGAAGGTGGTGTGTGGAAGTGGTGTTTGATTGTGGAGGTGATCAATGCTTGAATCGTGTGATGTATATATGGGTTTTGGAGAAAATGAGGTGAATGCACTTGTTACTTAGACTTGGTGTCTAGTCTTTATTGGCGGCTACTCCATCAACAACTTGGCTAGTTATTAAATTTTTGTGAGTAGGAAAGTGTGGTTTGGATTTTGGATTTTGGATTTTTGGGGGCTGCTTGATGCATAGTTGCCCATACTTTATTGATTTGGTGAACTGGCATTTGGTACAAGTTGAGGTGAAAGGTTTGTTTGATCTGTTAAATGATAATGGTAGGGAGTATCAATGATTCTAAATTTCTGATGAATCATGGAAGGGTGGGAGTAAAGAGGATTGAATGATTGATTGAAAGGAAGGAAGGGAAAACTTGGCTAGAAAGGTGAGTGAATGTGACCATGTCAAGAAACAGAACCCAAGTTTCTCAATGGGAACATACCAAATTAAGATTCAAAAACAAAAAATCAGTACCCCACATAACAGCAAATTTCTGTGTATACAATTAGAAAATTTGAAGAAGATAGACACAAGTTATGGATCAATAATCATGTTGGATGTGGAAGTTGTGGTAGCAAGCAAAAACCAATGATTCTTTGCAAAAGTCTTTTGGCATGTATGAATTTTCGTTCTCAACTATTATATAGCCAATGAATCATTAATAATTTAAGTGGAGTTTAATATAATATTTTATTTAATTCAATTAAGTTTAACTATTTTTGAATTTATTTTTCATTTATAATTTAATTTAACTAATTATAGTTGGATCGGGTTGAGGTAAGTAATTCCAAAAATAATTTTAAATAATTATTTGTTAAAAATAAATTAAAATAATTTTTTTATTTAAAATATATTTTAAAATAAAAATAATTTTAATAATTAAAAGGTAATTATAATTTTTATAATACATACATAAAAATATCCATTTAATAAATTATAATTTTTTTTATTAAATTATTAAAGTAATATATTTTTATTGTTTATTTATTCTAATATTAAGTTAAATAAGATTAGATGAAGTTAATCTTGTTTAAAATTAACGAACTCGTTATCCAATCCAATACACTAAAAAAAAACTTAATCCATCAAAATATATTTGAATTGTGTTGAATAAGATTAGATGCAACCTACTTGCACCATAAATGAATTTATAAAATTGTATTTTACAAATAAAAGTTAAATCATTTATATTTTTTAAGTTTAATTTAAGTCTCTAAAATTAATTTTTTCTATTATGGTCTTTTAATGTATTATCATTTAATCTGGAACTATTAACATGAAAAAAAGTATAAATATTGAAATGAAATCTTATTTTTTAAAATAATTACCTAAATTAAAGTACAGTAATTTGGTATAATTTATTTAATTTTTGATTAAAATGAGCTTTGATAAAACCAATTAAGAGTAATTTATTTTCAAAAATCTTAATTAAAATTTAAAAATTATTACTATATTTTTAAGACAGTCTTACTTTAATAAACCTCGAATTTTATCATTCAATCAGTCATATAAGTATTATAAAATGACATAAAGATAAGGTAATTTTCGATTTATCTTATCATAAAATCACTAATTACATCTCATTATTGACTTGAACGTTGGAAAACAAATTTTTCACCTTATCATAATTCAGACACTTAGTGACTTGAAATTTGGAGTATATATATATTCTCAACAAAATTTCATATCAAGAAGTCGCATGTTCTATCATCTAATTATATAAGTATTACAAAGTGACAAGAAAGTAAGGTAATTTTATTTATATTATCACAAAATTACTAATTATCATCTTATTATTAACTTAAGAGTCGAAATATTTTTATAAGTACATTTCGTTCTCATTTTCCTCTACTCCAATATCTAGAACCAAGTATTGAAAACAGAAAATAGAAGACTTTAAAATAAACACCAAAATCACTATTTACATAGGAAGTCGATTTAGTTTCAATATAAAAAGAATTACTTTATTAAACATATCCACATACGATATTCTCAACAATATACAAATAACAATTTTCATAAAAGCTCCAAATTGTAAACATGTTTCATTTCAATTTTTCAATTAGGTTAACTAACATTGGGGTAGATTTTTTATTTATGTAGTATTTTAAAACATAAATAAAAAAATTAATATAACATGTATTTTAAATAGTTAGTGTTGGTAAAATTTGAGATTTTATGTTTGACAAAATTAGCCAGAAACTAAATAACTATGTAATTGAATCGGTTTATTAAATCATAGTTATTTGGTAAAGTTATATCTTGAAATAGCTGAAAATATAAAATGTAAAATACGTGCTTATGAATTATTATTATTATTATTATTATTATTATTATTATTATTATTATTATTATTATTATTATTATTATTATATATATATATATATATAAATTTTTGTTTTAGTTTTTTTTTGTTAAAATTAGACTTTAAGATGTTTAAAATTTTTGTTTTACAACTTTTTTTAACTCCTGAATTTTTTTTAATGATTTTAATTATTTTTTTTAGTTTAACTTATTTTATATTTTCATATCATAATTTTACTATTAATTTCATATTATATCTTAAGTATTTTCAAACGAGTTTAAATTTAACTAAATTAATGTATACTACATAAGTAAATGTTATTATTTTGTTATATTAAATCATGTATTGGTTAAAATAAATATTTATACATAAAACCATTAAAAAAAGTAATAATAAATACAAATAAATCTATACTTATCAATTTTCTCGAAGCATAATATTGAATTAATAAAAATAATTATTATAAATAATATAATAGTTAAAATAAATTATATTTTAAAAATACATCAAAATTTTAAGATTATTTTTGAAATTATAATTAAATTAAATTAAATAATAAACATAAAAAATCTACAACAATAAAACAATATTTGAGCAATAAAACTAAAATTTTAAAATAAATACTAATATAATTTTTTAGTGTATATTTATTAAGGAAATTTTGGTATTTTAGAAAATTGTTTACATTTAGAAATCATCATATAGAATATTGGTATTGATGAAATTTGTCCCAACCAATATTAGAAAAATTAAAATTAGAGTGTCAGGAGTGTACACAAATACAAAATAGGTTAGAGTTCATTTTTTTCTTTTATATTTAAAAAAAAGGACACATTTAATAATATATATATATATATATATATATATATATATTTTTAATTATATCAATAATTTTTAAGTTTTGATTTATTAATTAATATTTTTATTAGAAAAATAACAAAATTATAAACATTTTATCATAAAATTCTTAATTATGATCTATATTAAAAATTTAATTAATTAATATTTATAACATAATATTATAATATATTTATATATTTTAATAATATTATATAAAAAATATAATTTTTTTAATTATAATTTTTTAATTTTAGTTTTAATATAATATTTTTAAAGTAAATGAGCAGGTAAATTTATCTTGTTTGTCTTTAATAAGATAAGTCAGAATATAATAAGAGATGAAAATTATTAACCTATTCTATTATTTGGTACGGTTACACCAGTCAATCATTAAACTTAATGTATATTGTCATTTCAACATTTCAACATGTGTGATTCAGTTGAATTTGTAACATTCCTCCAACCATTTCATAAAAAAAATATAAGATTTTAAAATACTTAAAAAGTATAATTATATTAAGTTATTTACATCAGATATCAGATGTCATATGTACAAGTATTTCAAAAGAAATATTATTATATTACATAAGTTTTCTACACATTTTTTAAATAAAATAATTTAATGGTAATGTTTCTTCTCCATTTCCTTAACATCTCAATGTTAGGCGGATAACTTAAAAATATTATCTGATCAGGTATAATAACACATTTATTATATTGCAGATTAATACATCATACTAACTAGGGTAAATTAATCATAAATTTTTTTATTCATATGACTATCACAAAATATTCTCAATATTTATATATGAATAAATAAATTAAGTACCACAACTATACAACAAATCAAGTGTCTAACATCTTAGCATGTAAGTTATATCTCGTGTCATAATATACCGATATTAATAATCATAGACACTTGACTCTACTTTTGGAACTCTCATGCATTAAATTAGACTCAGAGATTTGTACATGTTACACTACCTTCACTAATGCTTTGTTTGGTTGGAGTGATTTGAGAGAGTGGAAATGAGAGAGTGGAAAAGGAGGGATTTGAAGAGAAATGGAGATGAAATTAAAGTTGTTTGGATGAATGGAAAGTGAAAGGAAAGTTTATGGGAAATTGTGAATGATTTGATTGATATGAGATATAAAAATTATAATTTTAATTGATTATTTAAGAAAATTACCATTTTACCCTTTGTATAAAATAAGGTTCAAATGATTATAAATATAATTTTTTAATTAATTATCCATATTTTAACATTGATTATATAGTTAAAAGAAAAAACAAATTTAAAAGTGTTTGTAATTGGAAACAAATTTACAAAATTAACTTTTTTTAGATAGTTATTAAAAATTATATAAATAAACAATTACAAAATTATGTACATTGCATATCCATATTCAAATAATGTTGACATATTAAATAAATTATTTGACTAATAATTAAATAATTATAAAATATAAAATAATAATTAATATTGATTGATAATAACAATGATAACCGCTCTTAAAATATAAAATAATAATTAATATTCACTTTTAAGAGCGGTTACAATGATAACCACTCTTAAAAGTACCATATGATAGCGGTTTCATGTTAACCGCTATCTAAAGTCTCAATTATTTGATTATATATTTTAGAAGATATAAACTTTCAAATGATCGATTACTTTGCCAAAATGATTGATCACTTTTTCAATTCCTCGAGACTTTAGATAGCGGTTAACCTGGAACCGCTATCATATGTTCACATCTGATAGCGGTTCCGGATTAACCGCTATCTAAAGGCTCCAAGATTTGAATTTATTTTGATGTATAATTATATTTATATATATATATATATACATATTCTAAAATATAATTTATATTAATTACTATAATATAAAATATATATTCCACAATATAACTTATTTTCATTTATATATATATTATAGAAATGAAAATAAATTATATTTTAGAATATATAATTTTGATAGAAAATTATATATATATATATATATATATATATATATATATATTCGAAAATATAATTTATATTAATTACTATAATATAAAATATATATTCCACAATATAACTTATTTTCATTTGTATATATATTATAGAAATGAAAATAAATTATATTTTAGAATATATAATTTTGATAGAAAATTATATATATATATATATATATATATTCTAAAATATAATTTATATTAATTACTATAATATAAAATATATATTCCACAATATAACTTATTTTCATTTGTATATATATTATAGAAATGAAAATAAATTATATTTTAGAATATATAATTTTGATAGAGAATTATATATATATATATATATATATATATATATATATATATATTCTAAAATATAATTTATATTAATTACTATAATATAAAATATATATTCCACAATATAACTTATTTTCATTTGTATATATATTATAGAAATGAAAATAAATTATATTTTAGAAGATATAAACTTTCAAATGATCGATTACTTTTCCAAAATGATCGATCATATTTTCAATTCCTCGAGACCTTAGATAGCGGTTAACCCTGGAACCGCTATCATATGTTCACATCCGATAGCGGTTCCGGATTAACCGCTATCTAAAGGCTCCAAAATTTGAATTTATTTTGATGTATAATTATATTTATATATATATATATACATATTCTAAAATATAATTTATATTAATTACTATAATATAAAATATATATTCCACAATATAACTTATTTTCATTTATATATATATATATATTATAGAAATGAAAATAAATTATATTTTAGAATATATAATTTTGATAGAAAATTATATATATATATATATATATATATATATATTCGAAAATATAATTTATATTAATTACTATAATATAAAATATATATTCCACAATATAACTTATTTTCATTTGTATATATATTATAGAAATGAAAATAAATTATATTTTAGAATATATAATTTTGATAGAAAATTATATATATATATATATATATATATATATATATATATTCTAAAATATAATTTATATTAATTACTATAATATAAAATATATATTCCACAATATAACTTATTTTCATTTGTATATATATTATAGAAATGAAAATAAATTATATTTTAGAAGATATAAACTTTCAAATGATCGATTACTTTGCCAAAATGATCGATCACTTTTTCAATTCCTCGAGACCTTAGATAGCGGTTAACCTGGAACCGCTATCATATGTTGACATCCGATAGCGGTTCCAGATTAACCGCTATCTAAAGGCTCCAGAATTTGAATTTATTTTGATGTATCATTATATTTACATATATATATATATATACATATTCTAAAATATAATTTATATTAATTACTATAATATAAAATATATATTCCACAATATAACTTATTTTCATTTATATATATATTATAGAAATGAAATTAAATTATATTTTAGAATATATAATTTTGATAGAAAATTATATATATATATATATATTCTAAAATATAATTTATATTAATTACTATAATATAAAATATATATTCCACAATATAACTTATTTTCATTTGTATATATATTATAGAAATGAAAATAAATTATATTTTAGAAGATATAATTTTGCAAATGATTGATCACTTTTCCAAAACGATCGATCACTTTTTCAAATCCTCCAGACTTTAGATAGCGGTTAACCTGGAACCGCTATCATATGTTCACATCTGATAGCGGTTGGTTAACCGCTATCTAAAGGCTCCAGAATTTGAATTTATTTTGATGTATAATTATATGATCGATTACTTTTCCAAAATGATCGATCATATTTTCAAATACTCGAGACTTTAGATAGCGGTTAACCTTGAACCGCTATCATATTTTGATATTTAAGAGCGGTTAAGTTATTAACCGCTCTTACAAGAATTATTTGAATATATTTTGATGTAAAATTATATTTATATATATATATATTGTAAAATATTATTTATATTAATTACTATAATATAAATATATATTCCACAATATAACTTATTTTCATTTATATATATATATATATATATATATATATATATATATATATATATAGAAATGAAAATAAATTATATTTTAGAATATATAATTTTGATGTAAAATTATATTTATATATATATATATATATATATATATATATAAATACAAGTTATTAAAAATTATATAAATAAATTATAATTTTGACATATTAAATAAATTATTTGACTAATAATTAAATAATTATAAAATATAAAATAATAATTAATATTGACTAATAATAACAAATAATTATGAAAACTAATAATATAATTGTAAATTATTATTTTAAATCAATATAAAAACTTTAAATTATATATATATATATATATATATATATATATATATATATATATTGCATAAATTAGAGGAGGCGTGGATTTCATGCACTCGTGTGTTCACATGCGAGGAGATGGAGAAGGGTAAATAAGTCAATTTTCATTTGATGATGTGTCTTTCTCTGTCTATCCTCTCAAATCCTCTTTGTTTAACAGGGTGAGCTTTCCTCCCCTCTCCCTCAAATCAGCGCTTGCATATGCTCTCATATCAGTTGCAACAAACGAATAACATCCCGCTTTTCTATCCTTTGAAACAGTAAATCACTTGCAACAAACACATGCTAAGTGAATATCTCCAACATACGTACATAATTGGAACACGTTCTCTTATGTGACAAGGTAAATCCCTATGATTTGCCAGATATAGTTTTCTTTTTCACACTACAAGCTAAGTTATAGAGACCTCCTTCAACTTTCACCACCTGATATTTTTCTCTACGTGAGTCTAGTATCAATAGAGTTAGGATATCTCCTCCATAATCTCAAATTCAATACATTATCTATATCTCAACATAATATCTCCTCCTTAGAAACTAATATATTAACTTCATCAATTCATCAGAGAGATAATATACACATATAAGGATAATACATCATATTTTTCACATTACAACAATATATTCTTCCTATACATATATTAGTACCCAACACACATTATTTCATATTTAATACATGTATCTCAATAGCTTAAGACATATAAACATCATTTATCACATTATAACAAAACATAATTTCTTTCTAATTTGACCTTTGCCTTTTATTTTGATCATAATTTTTTCTCTATATATCCCTTTTAACTAATTTTTATTTTATTGGATTCCTTATTTTCGGGACTTCGATTTTAATATATAGAACATTAAATTTGGATTTCAGAGTTGTTTTTTATGATTGTTTGAAAACTGCTAAGTAAATTTGAAAGCGCTAAGCGGATTTGAAAGCTTTGAGTATATTGCAAGCGCTTTCAATATTGTCTTAAATTCGTTGAACGATTTTGAAAGCGCTGAGCGGATTTGAAACCACTGAGCAAAATTTTGACAAAATGAAACCTTTAACACTATCTAAAATTCATTAGCCGAATTTGAAGTGCGCGGATTGCAAACGCTTTCAGCACTGTCTTAAATTCGTATGACGGTAGAAACTACATAATCTACTCATGTTTCTTATGTTCCAAATCAAATTAATTCTAATCCTTACCCTCCTTATTGTAAATCAATTTACTAAATTTAATAAAAGAACAATACAATCATGCAAAAGATATTTTTTTTCAATCTCATGTAAATCACTTATACTTTTATGTTCAATATAATCATCACCTTTACAATAATCATACAATCCAAATACTTAAAACTCAAATAATACGACCAAGTCATATTAACACGATTAAGAATAAGTAAGAAAAAAAATGTAAAAGTTCTTTAAGATTTATTATTGGTTTTTTTAATAAATATGGTCTATATTTTATTCCAAATTTGAGTATTGAAGATAATATTATAAATACTAGTAAAACAATGAAATATAATCACACAGACAGTAAATTATATTATTTATGTCCTCGTCATTATGGAATATAACAAATGTTGTACTCAACTTGAGACCTTAAAATTACGAGTGGATTTATCTCAAGAACATCACTTTTTTCTGACCTTTTTTTCCTTCTTTCTACTTATTTCTTTCAGCCCTTGTGTTGTGTATATTGCTTGGGCTTTTCCACCATGAATCAAGGTTAATGTGATTCATAGTGTGATTTCATTGTAGAAAGCAATACTTAAACTTTATCAATTATCAGTATGAAGATGCTAAAAGTAACTTGTTCATAAAATAGAACAGAAAAGACCTTTTTTAAGGAGAAAAGAACATTCTTTGAACAAATGCCAAATAACCTTCTTCTCATGCCATCTCTTACTTGTACATTCAATCACAGAAACCTTAAAGGTATCTTTCAGTGATCCTTACCCTATATTCTGCACTCAAGCCAAGTAATGGAATCATTTCTTCTTTTTCACACCTTTCTGTTTCTATGTACACTCTGCATTCATTCATTTTCTTTAAACAATTCCTTTCTTCATAAATTTTCAAATCCCTTGCTTTTCTTTTCAGCTTCATTTTTCTCTTCTATACAAAGCATAGTAACTGGCCCTTTCTATTTTCACATCCAACACTCATCCAAATCTAAATCCAAACCCACCATGATTAAGAAAATTGGAAAAAAAGTTACAAGACCCTTCAAAAATAAACCACGACCAACACCATCATATCCACCTCCTCCACCACCTCCACCACCTCCTCCTCCTCCTCCTCCTCCTCCTCCTCCACTGCTTCCTTCATCTACACCTCCACCATCACCACCGCCGCCATCTCCTCCTCCTCCTAAGCAACCAAATGCTCCATTTATCTTCCCTCAAACTCACTCCACAGTTCTCCCTGACCCTTCAACTTTCTTTGCTCCAAACCTTCTCTCTTCTCCACTCCCTACAAACTCTTTCTTCCAAAACTATGTTCTTCAAAATGGAGACACACCTGAGTACATCCACCCTTACCTCATCAAATCCTCAAACTCCTCCCTCTCCCTCTCCTACCCTTTTCTCACCTCCAACTCTTCTTTCATAACACAAGTTTTCAACCCTGACATCACCATCTCTTCCTCTGAGAGCAAAACCACCCCAGGCTCACACACGAGGCACGTGATATCTTCCTTCAGTGATCTCGGTGTCACTTTGGACATTCCATCTTCAAACCTCACGTTCTATCTTGTCAGGGGAAGCCCTTTTGTGACAGCATCAGTGACATGTCCCACAGCACTTTCCATTACCACCATGCATGCCATTCTTTCACTCTCATCCAATAACTCCCTCACCAAACACACCATGCAGCTCAACAATGGCCAAACGTGGCTCATTCATACTTCCTCACCTATCAGTTTAAATCATAGCCTTTCTGAGATTACTTCTGGCGAATTTTCTAGCATAATTAGGATAGCAGTATTGCCTGATTCTGACCCTAAGTATGAGGTAATCCTCAATAGGTTCAGCTCTTGTTATCCTCTCTCTGGGGATGCAACATTTACAAAGCCATTCTGTGTAGAGTATAAATGGGAAAAGAAAGGGTGGGGGGAGTTGTTAATGCTAGCTCACCCTCTTCACCTTCAGCTTTTGAATGATGGTGATTGTGGTGTGACGGTTCTGCATGATTTAAAATATAGAAGTATTGATGGAGAGCTTGTTGGTGTTATCGGGGACTCATGGCTGCTCAAAACCGATCCGGTTTCAGTTACTTGGCATTCCACAAGAGGTATAAAAGAAGAATTCCATGAAGAGATTTTTTCAGTGCTTTCTGAAGACGTGGAAGCTTTGAATCCCTTGGGAATAACAACAACATCATGCTATTTTTATGGGAAGATAATAGCAAGGGCAGCAAGGTTGGCATTGATAGCTGAAGAGGTGGCTTTTCTTGATGCTATGCCGGTGATTAGGAAGTTCTTGAAGGAGACCATTGAACCATGGTTGGACGGAACTTTCAGTGAAAATGGTTTCCTCTACGATGGGAAATGGGGAGGGATTGTTACAAAACAAGGGTCTAAAGATTCAAGTGCAGATTTTGGATTTGGTGTTTATAATGATCATCATTACAATTTGGGGTATTTCCTTTATGGAATTGCGGTGCTTGCAAAGATAGATCCAGCTTGGGGAAGGAAGTACAAGCCTCAAGCCTATTCACTTGTGGCAGATTTCGTGAACATGGGAAGAAGATCAAACTCTAAGTACACACGTTTGAGGTGTTTTGATCTTTATAAATTGCACTCTTGGGCCGGAGGGTTAACTGAATTTGCAGATGGAAGAAATCAGGAGAGTACTAGTGAAGCTGTGAATGCATATTACTCTGCAGCATTGATGGGTCTAGCATATGGTGACACTCAACTTATTGCCACCGGATCAACACTTGCAGCCATGGAAATTCATGCAGCTCAAATGTGGTGGCATTTGGGAGAGGGACATAAACTGTATGAGGAAGATTATACCAGAGAGAACAAGGTGGTAAGTGTTCTGTGGGCTAACAAGAGAGATAGTGGACTATGGTTTGCTCCTTCTCAGTGGAGAGAGTGCAGGCTTGGTATTCATGTTTTACCATTGTCTCCTATTACTGAGGCCTTGTTCTCAGATGTTGGCTATGTGAAGGAACTTGTGGAGTGGACAGTGCCCAATTTGAACAGGAAATGTGTTGGAGAAGGGTGGAAGGGGTTTATCTATGCCATGGAAGGTACTTATGATAAAGAAAGTGCACTGCAAAAGGTAAGAAGCTTGAAAGTTTTTGATGATGGAAACTCAAAGAGTAATCTGTTGTGGTGGATTCACAGCAGGGGTGATGTGGAGGAGGAATTTGGTCAAGGAAAACATTGCTGGTTTGGCCATTACTGCCATTAAATATTGTTAACTATAAACCATCGCCAGGTCTTAAGAAGGTGAAAATATGAATAGCTAATGTTAAAATATTGCCCAAACTACCATATTAATTAGTGGGAAAGTTCATAGTAAGTATCTTTATAAAGACAGTAAAATGAGATATTTTGTGTGTCAAAAATGTAGACCATATTAAAACATGTTAGTTATTTTTGGTGGCAAGTTATTATTTGAGAATATCTAACATTTATACTTTCAGACCCGGCTTTAGTTATATTTGTATGTATAATATTCTGACTACACGCTTCTCTCTCAACCTATGGATGGATAGGTTATCAGATACGTATTACTGATACTTAAAAAATTCGTATAAAAAAGATAAAAAAAAATCCAAACAAAATAACAAATATTTTTCTGTTATTATTATTATTATTATTAAATTAATCAAAACATATTTGAATTATTTAAATATTTATCAAAACATATTTTAATTATTTAAATATGTATTTTTTTCTAATATTTTAATTTTTCTAAAGAGCTTATAATTATTGTGGTCTTACGGGTTTGTTTTTTATCTTTTTTCCGCCTCTGTTTCTTTTTGGGTTGTGAGATTACTTACCTTTTTCTTTAATGTGTAATAGCTTGCCGTCTTCTAGAGTTATCCAACATGAGTTGGTGTGTGCAACATTTTTTCCACGTGAGACTCAGTACGTTTTTGTAATATTGGGTGATAGGTAATATATTATTTATAAATTTTAATTAATATATATGAATTTTAAAATATATAATATATTATTAATAATATATATTATGCCTTTAGATTAACTTTATTTAATAATTATTTATAATTTGATTTTTTTTAATTAATTAAATTTTATTAATAATTTAAATAATTAATTTTTATATAAATACTAATATATTTATAATTTTTTAATAAATTTATATTTTTATTAAATAAATATTATAAATATTTTCATTCACTCATTGAAAAGAAATAAGTCTGAATCCTAAAAAAATAGAAGACTTGATTTATCTACATACTAATTTACGATTTCGACTAGGCAAAGTGAAGAATACAACCAAGGAAACTCTAAAATGTGGGATATTAGTGAAGATGCATGTGATGACTTTGATGGTGTTGAAAACCTTAGAGTGACAACATTATCTCTTGATGAACCGAGACATGAAAAGTATTTTATTTATCGATGATCCTCGAAGAGGAGATGAAATTGATACTATTTCTATTTCTAAACAATAAGTAGTTATTGGTAACTTTTATTTTACATTTATTTTTTTTAAAGTCATATATACATTTAAAAATATATTTAATGGGTTCAATTTAAATAATATTTAATAATTATATATAATGTTTTAATGAATTATATATATATATATATATATATATATATATATATATATATTATCACCATTTTAACTTATATGATTTTTCCTAGTTCTTCTCACCATTTCACAACAATAATACTCATGATTTTCAATAAATCCAAGGACTCTAATAAATCTTATTAGTTGATATCAACCATGACATTAACTAGTGATCACAACTCAACTTTTATATATATATATATATATATATATATATATATATATATATATATATATATATATATTTTTTTTTTACTGGTAGAAAACTAAAATAAAATTGAGCAAAAATCATAATAATATAATCTAAATTGAAACCTAGTATTATAAAATCAAGTAAATTCCTAGGGGAATATAAGTTTTTTTAAGTAGTTTCTTGTCGATGAACAACTAAGTAATGGTACTTTTTAAAATAATTATAATTTTTTTTACATCGGACCACGTGAGATTTGACGTAAAAAATACGTTAAATTCCTCCTAAGGGCATATCTCGAGAGTATTTTTTTTATCACGGTGAGCAGCAACGACACCCATATTGTGAGGTGGTGGACGATTCTCTCCAATTTGATTTGAACGTTAGGGGTGTTTTTTGTGTGAGGTTAGTGCTTTACATCTCTACTTCTTTCTTAAAATTGAAATCATAGTTGTTTTAGGGTTTTCTATCACGTTAATGCATGAATGTCTCCACTAAATTATTGTTATTGAAATTGAAATCGTGGTTGTTTTTGCTATTTTTGAATTCAATTTACTGTTTTTCATTCTTAATTTTGAAATTAGTTTTTAAATTTAAAATTTAGTTTTATATCAATATTAAGATATGTGTTAGTCTCTAGGAATGACTAAATTATTTAGTCATTTGTTTATTTAAAATTTTACCCGATGATTAAATTTGTAAACTAAGATAGTTATAGATAAGAATTGGTGATTATTAAATTTGTATAGTTTATGATGATTAAATTTATAACTTAGGTGTTATTGATCGAAGTTGGATGAATGCACGTTGAGTTAGTGAAAAGTATGAAAAAGGAGTTGAATGGTTTTGCAATTTACTCGTGAAATTGGAAAATTTATCAAAGGGGTCTATTATTGTCCATGCGTTTGTTGTTTGAATCAAATACGTCAAGAACTTATAAATATACATGATCACTCATTTGTTTGTGTTTGATATTGTTAAAAGTTATACAATGTGGATATGACATCGAGAAGTATAAAACATACCAACTATGTTAATAACAAGAAATTTTGAAAAAAGGATACATGATAATTTAAAGGAGATGATACATGAAATTGACGGAAAAAAAATTTAGAAGAACAAATGTGTATGATTCTTTGAAGTTTGATTTTGAGCAACAATTGTACCCTGGATGTAGTAACTTTACAAGATTATTAACTACTTTAAGATTGCTCAGTTTAAAAGCAAGAAATGGATGGATTGATAGAAGTTTCCCAAAATTGTTGGAGTTATTGAAGGAAACTAGAAGATAACATGTTACCTAATCGTAATTATGAGACGAATAAAATACTAAGTCCAATGAGTTTGAAGTATAAGGAGATTCACGCATGTCCTAATGATTGCATATTGTAAAGAAATGATTTAGTTACATTAAAGGTGTGACAAACATGTAGGTTGTCGCGATTAAAAAAGAAAGCTAATGGAAGTAATGGTGAGGAAGAAACAAATGGGCCTACAAAGGTATTATGGTACTTACCAATAATACTTAAGTTTAAAAGATTGTTTGTCAATAAAAAGAATGCAAAAAACCTGACATGACATGCAAATGGTAGAAAATCCACAATAGAAGATGTTTGATGAAACATTTCTAGAATTTGACACGGAATAAATAAACTTGAAAATTGGGCTAGCTATAGATGATGACATGAATCCTTACGAGAACTTAAGTAGTAAACATAGTTCATGACCAAGCACTACAAAAAAAAAGCCTATTATCTACGGCAAAAATCCGTAGGTAATGGAAAAAATCCGTAGGTAATGTCATTTTACCTACGGATTTTTTTCCGTAGAAAATCCGTAGGTAATATGGTCGTAGGTAATTTCCTACGGAATTACTATCCGTAGGTAATGTCGTCCGTGGGTAATTACCTACGGATTGTAATCCGTAGGTAATTACCTACGAACAGAATCCGTAGGTAATTACCTCATTCAAAATCCATAGGTAAATCCGTAGGAAAATCACTAGGTAAATTTATACAATTTATCACCACCAATTTAACTAAATTTTACCTGTTACATGCATATTACACATAAAATATTTAGATATCAAATTTAACAATATTCCATAATATTTATATGCACCAAATGCATATTCAGATATCAAACACAAATCCTAATATTAGCATGCATCAAGTAGTCATTGAAATATCTAAGAACATACAAATCCAAAGAAGTACTATAATAAATATTATGACAATATTGTTTGAGTGTCTTAATAATTATAGTAATGTCCTTGTTCATCTTGAGGTCTGCTCTACGAAAGTCTGGTTGATGTTGTGATTGTTGTTCATTGCTTCTTGCTCTCTGTTGTGATTGTTGTTGTGATCCTTGTTGGGAATGTTGTTGTTGAAATGCTTGTCGGGCATCGGGTGGAAGTAAAGGAAGGACAACACCGACAAGTGTTTGTAATTGGTGGCTCAATATTTCATTATCCTCCCTATAACTAAGCACTTGTTTCTTTAATTGTGTAATCTCACGAGAATCGGTAGATCCCGAATATGAGAGGGTATCTCCAGGCCTAAAATTATGGGCAAGTTCTCCAACACCGTAGATCCAGACCCTTTTTGTTGCTAGTTGCAGCAAGAATCCAACTTTCGAGTCCTTATTCTCTCCTCCTCTATAGGATCTAATGGAGATGACTCGGTTTCGATAGCACAGGATGCTTGCCTCGAGATCTAGCTCGAGAGTATCTTCTCCGAAATTCTTCCTATTCACATACAAATAAAAATTATGTACGATATACAACACATATCCATCATAACATATAAGAAAGTAATAGAGTAATATTAAATAAGTTCACAACTCACATGAGTTTTTCTAGACCTTTCATCAACAAATTCACCATTAACCTTTCGTATATGAGTCTGTTTGAACACCTCATCAATATGTGCAGGACGACCCAACTCCTTTTCCTGCAAAAAAAATTAATTAATAACATGCATGAAGAAATGAAAGAAAGAAACTTTTGTTATAATTTCATATTTACCATACGAATGGCGTGTTCATGCATACTAATAGAACCACCGTGTGTAAACTACCACCCGTCTCGGAAGATCGATTCTTCCGAGCTTGTGCACACTTTGCACGATAATCAATTGAGTTCCACTTGTTCAACGAGTTTTCCACACATCATCAAACATCCAATAGGGCTTTTGAATTGTCCTTCTAGCATCTTTGAACATTTCGGATAGCCTATGTGAGGCCTTTGAGTGAAAATTCTTTCGAATCCTATCCTCATCTTCAGGTCTTCGAGTGACCTTTCTCTTTGCAAATGATTTACACAAAAAAACAAATAATAATAATTGTGTCAATGAATGTAAGTAATAAAAATAATTCATCGGCCTAAATATAAGAAAACTTACTTTAAATCGTTGAAAGAATGTCTCTTTTTCAACATTGGTCATTGAACCCC